GCGATTTTTAAATGATTAAAATATTTTTAGAGTAGGTTGGTTTTTTTTTTACTTAAAAAAATAGTATTAAAGTTTTGGTAAATAACTTTGAAAGTGCATAATGTTTTAGTCAAAAGAAGCACAACCTATATTGTTTTATAATAATTTAAATTTACATAACAAAAATTAATAAATCAGTTTTTAAAAGCCACTACTAAATATACTCATTTCCTAAAATACCTTTTATAATAAAGTTTCTACTTATCCAATTCATTTATTTTTTATACTTTAATCAAAATTAGCTTTTATAGCATATTTATACCAATCTCTACAAGACAAATAATTTTTCAATAAAATAAGGCTACACTGGCCCACTGTGCGGCGTTATAAAAAATAATTTAATTTTTAACTTTAACTAAAATTAATTCATTAAAACGTTTTAATATTAATAAAAAAAAATATGGTTTTAAAATTTAACATATGTATGTATGTATGTATTTAAAAATTTATTAGTTGTTTTTTTTTTAAACAAAATTTGGGTTTTTATGCCATTAAGTCATTAACCCCAAGGGCAAGCACAAAAAAATTGATTTCCAAATCTTCAATCTTCCAAACTTTTAAGACTTCCCAGTACAAAAAAATTAAATTTAGTCTGGAGAACGGCAGTTGTTTATTAAAAAAATTATATAAATTAGCAACAATCAAGATAATGAGTTTTTTTGTTGCTTACTGCATTAATTTATTAATATTCTCTAAGATTTTCTTCAATATTTTATAAATAGTTAACCAGATAATAATTTTCAATCAAACGGTGTTGGTAGACAAATAAATTTTTCCCAAAAAGTTTTATAAAGTGAATTAATATTAATGGGTGGATTATTTTCCAATATTTTGTTTCTTCGTGGGGGAAATTTCTACTCAGGTACATAAACTTTTACTATACAATGCAATTTACTTACTTTACTTTATACTTTATTTATTTACCTTGACAATCTCTGCTCTAATAAATTGTGGTACAGTAAAGTTTTACAAGTATTTTAATGGCATCCTAAATGGGTTTCCAAATTAGCGCCTAAAGATTAAAATAGCTTTATGTCCTATTTTAAGGATCCAATTACACGTTATATTGGATGGATTAATATTACTTTTATTTAATTAATTGGCGCAAATGAAAGCCAAGAAATAAAAAATTTAAATTTGACTTACGTTTAACCCAGGTTTACCCAAATGGTTCTGTATGTGAAATTCGAAGTAATCACTTACCTAAAACAACATAAAAAAAATATTAATACAATTTGCTAAAGTTGGCAGAAAATGGTACCAAAATAAAAAGGTTATGTTTTTGACACTGGAATCATTAGATTATTTAAAATAAAGTTTTTTACCAGGGTCTCTGTATATTTCATTAGTCTGTTCCACCATTCTAAACTTTTTTCTATTACGAACGATTTCCAATCAAAAAAGTAATGCACAAAAGCTTGCCACCATTCTAAAAAATGTTCTATTACTAGAGTTCTCTCATGTAAAAAATATTGTTCTCTTTGAAGGAATCGTATAAAATGTTGTATATTTATCATTTAAAACTCGGTAGAATAAATGTAAAATTTATAAAGAATCTAAAATATCATTGTTTTGACATTGACTAATGTTTACTTTAGCTAGACATTTAGACAAAAAGACAATATTTTAATAATTAAATTTAATTTAGATATTAACTAGCAAAATAAGTAAATATTACTTAATGCAGGTAAATTAGGGTTAGGTTAGTGGGATAACTAATAAATTATTAATAATTATTATAATTTAACACTATTTAAAATACACAGGGTGTACCGAAAATAGTGTCCCAAAAAGTGCTAACGGTTTAGAGCCAAAAAGAGAAAGAAAACTTTATATGAACATAGGTCGGCAAATGGCCCCTAAGGGACCTACAGCCTCTTAAAGAGGCACCCCTTTATTATTATTATTTTTTCTGAAACGGTTTGGGTAAAATAACGTATTTTCAGGAAACATATGTAATTTTTATAAATATTTTTTATAAAATATAGGTATTAAATTGAATTAAATTTTTAAAAATCATTTAAATATCCAATAGTTTGAGTAGATAAAGTATAGCATTAAACTCGAGATTATGTGCATTATTCACGATATCTGCATTATCTTTCGTTTAATATACAAGGTGTCCCTAAACTTATTGGCATAAATTTAGGAAAAGATTGAGCATGTCAAAATAAGACGAAAACCTAAATAAATATTTTTCCTAATTACTTATGTTTCCAAGATACAGGGTGATAAAGTGTTACCTATCATATTAGTTTTTTTAATATAACTTCTACTATGGTAGTCTTGGAAAAGTGATATTTTGCGAACAGTCACTTACTACCAAAACACATATTCGCACATAATTACTATTGTTCGAGTGAACACAGTGTCGTAGAAACGGGGGTTGCTTTAAGCTTATTGTCCCATACAAACTTTGAGGTTAGGTTTTTATAACATTTGATACAATTTTTCGATTTCACAGTTCGTCTACCATTAAAAAGGTGTACCTCTCAAACTTCGATAAAATAAACCGTTTCCGAGATATTCCAGATTACAATAATTGTTAAATCGCAGTATTTAAAAGGATTAAAAGGTATATGATAACAAATTTTATTTTTTAATTGAAAAAACTAAAAACGGCATTCTATGAGCCTCGAGACTTTTTGCCCTGACCGTCACATTAAAAAAAATTGTAGTTTTTTCAATTAAAAAATTTGTTTAGTCCTTTAATGCGATATAACAATTATTGTAATCTCGGATATCTCGGAAACGGTTTATTTTATCGAATTTTAAGAGGTACACCTTTTTAATAGTAGCCGAACTGAATAATTGAAAAATTGCATCAAAGTTTTTATGGGACAATAAGCTTAAGCAACCCCTGTTTCTACAACACTGCGTTCACTCGAACAATTGTAATTATGTGTGAATATGTGTTTTGGTAGTAAGTGACTGTTCGCAAAATATCACCTTTCCAAGTCTGCTATAGTGGAAGTTTTATTAAAAAAATTGATATGAAAAGTAACATTTTATCACCCTGTATCTTTTAAATACACCTAATTAGGAAAAATATTTATTTAGATTTTCGTCTTATTTTGACTTGCTTAATCTGCTCCTAAATTTATGCCACTAAGTTTAGGGACACCTTGTATAATATACTATTTTTATAGTAAGTAAACATTTTTTCTAAATAAATTATATAACCTACCTAAATTAAATTTATTTTCTATGCTAATTTTTGTTAGTAATAAATTATTCATTTATGAACGATGTCTAGTATTGTGAGTGCGACATTACAATATATTACAAAAGAAACTAAAATAGTAAAGTGTAATTCACCTCCTTTTACTGTATAATAATTAATAATAATAATAATAATAATAATAATAATAATAATAATAATAACGCCAAAAAATATCATTAAAATAAATAGCCAGTTTGTAAAATAAAATACCTAAATTGACCTCTTTGAAAGAGGTCAATTTTGGCTCTTCCTGTCCCTTTTCCGTTCCAAAATTCGTTCAACTGTTGAAAACTAGGGGTGTGCGAATAATTCAAACTTACGAATTATTCGTTCCGAATCGAATATTAATATTCGATTCGGAACTCGAATCGAATAATTCCAAAATTCGAATTATTCGAAAGTTCCCAAATAATTCGAAAAATTTCAAATAACTCGAAAATTTTGGAATAATTCGAAACTATTATATTATTAGCGAATTTTTGAGTATTTTGAATTCAGGGTTTCTTATGTTCAATATTCAAATATGAATTTAACAGTCAATATACATTTTATTCAAACCATGAAATATAGTTCCACAAATAGAATAATTAGTATAGTTTTTTTTTGAAAGAGAATAAAATAACAGAAATTATATCGTAGCAAATATAGTATTACGAAAAATACAACATTTGAAAATTTGCTACAAATTTTTGTTCAAAAATAATAAATACGATACTGAAACATTACATGAGTAACCTTTTTCTTATAGATTTTTTTAAACAAAATTTAATAATTAATTAGACCAAAACAAATAGAAAATATCTCTTGCCAATATTACCATTCAGATTTTTTATGTTACCGACAGAGATGAACATATATTGAAAATGAGCAAATGTTTTCTCTGGGTAATTAATTTTTAAACGAAAAGTATATTATTCGTGTGTAGAATATTTCGATACACGATTTAAAGGAATTTAAATGGAAGCAATTGAAAATCCAGAGATATTTCATTAATTCGCGAACTATTTGAAAATCTTCGAATTATTCGAAATTTTTCGAATCGAATTTCGAAACCTTTAAAAATGGCGGATGTGTCGGAATTAAAACTGAAATTTACCCTCAATTTCAAAAAATCCTTTCTTAGCGGTTATCCATGTCATTATTATAATTATCCATGTTATTATTACTGTTGGTTTGGTTTGGGCGTTGATGAATCAGGACATGTAATTATATATAGGTATAATAATATAGACATTACAGTCATGGAGCTAATAAAAAGAATTTACATATATATAATAATACTTTTAAAGATCTGAAGGGCAAAAAGTAGTTTAATAAAGAAAAATATCACTATAAAACCTTTAACCAATTTCAGTACCTATCCATAAAATTATCAATAGTTATAATACTTTTTTTGCAAAAAAAAAAATAATTAATTTTTTGTTATGAAACTATCATGAATTATAAATGTCCATAAAAGTACAAACTGGTTACTAAGTCAACCCCTGGCAAATATCGATTATTTCGTGAAACGTTTCAGTCGCTTTCAGGCTTTCAGGCCGAAGACATGGCCTGAATATACTTCTAAAAAAATATGCCTCACTCAAATCAAATGCATTTTGTACTAAAATTTTAGCATAATAAAATTTGCATTGTGTTTAATATATTTGCAGGAACGGAGTGTCTAGTGTGGATACTGAGTACCTAGTCTGGATGGCACTTGGATATTGCGACCTATGACATATCGCGGTACGGTGAGCAGGAACAAAATGCTGAGATAACAGCAGGACGGCGCTCTATAACAGGTAAAAACTTATGAAAGACGTTTATGTGAATTGCACTTGTCTCGAAAAAGAGGCTAAAAATTATTGATGTTCGTTGTTTAGTAAGTAGGTCTATTGTCTGGATAGCTTTGTCGGGTCAAAAGACAGGTCAAAAAGCTTACTTGATTTTTCAGTTTAAGTAGTTTATTGATTTTTATTCGTTTGGTAGGTTTTTAAAGTATGGTTCATATTTTTTAATTAAATTTCGACCAAAATAAAAAGATGGTAATACTTTTAATGGATATATTAAAAAATTTTTGATGTAGTTTTCAAAAAAAAATTCTTTGCTTGTGTGTAATTTTTTATCAATTTTATATCAAGAATGAGAGTATTTTTAAAAACTTTTTTCATATCCGACAGATTTAACTTTTGTTGTATAATGTAAGGTATATAAATACCATTTATATAAATACCATTCACGATGAGAAACTTCTATTTTGTTATACAGGGTGGGCAAAAAAAATATAATTGTAGATTTTGCAGAATTAAAAATTGTTAAATTTTTTTTTGGAGGTCTAATATGAAGAGCTTTTAAGTATAAACCAAAAAGTCAAATAAAGTTTTTTCATGTGAGTTGTTGTTACTAAGATATTTGTTATTAAAAATAAAATCAGTTCAGGTCCTAACTTGAGTGGCCCTTTTATTTCGTAGAAATTAACTGCTATCTCATTTTGTGATTATGAATCAATAATGTTGCTTTCAAATGACAAGTCTACAATGTCTACAATTAGTATCAAAAAGTCATATGAAAAAAATTCCTTTGAATTTTTGATTTCTCCTTACCAGCTCTATATATTAGAGCTATTTAAAAAAATTATTTTGAAAATGTGTATTTTTGCTCACACTCTACAATAAAATTGATGTTTCTCAACGCGAATCGTATTTATATAACAAGTAAAAGAAATGATGAAAAATGACTTTTTCTCAAAAAATTTAAAATAAATATTTTTACAAGGATAGTTAAGTCGATCCGTGCACACACTGTATATTTTTCTGTCGTTTAAATTTTTAAATAAATTATTGTAATTCTTCTTTTACAGAAGTTAAAAAACGCTTCACTGTGAGTGATTGATTTTTATTTGGAATCACACAATATAATTTTCGAGTTCCCATTACCAGTTTTGCTCGAGTTTATCGAGGTTGTAGAATATTTTTGATTCGTTCATATTCATTTTGTTGAATATTTTATTTCTATATTCGGAAAATTACTAGGCCATACATACTAATTATCAATTAAAACAACTGAATTTCTAAACTATAACACTTCGCCAGTCAAAGTTTTAGAAAATTTAAATATCGTTACAACAAAAAAAGTTGTCTTCCAATGGGACCAAGCTTAAAAACTTTAAAATAATCCCTACAAACGCGACTTAAATAGAAAATTAAACAAAAGTCAATAATTAAAAAAAAAGAAAAATTTGAAAAAAATTTCCAAAACAATCAATTTTGTAAAAAGCTATGGAAGATTAAATATTAAAAATCTTAAAAACTATCGTCTAAAAAAAAGTATTTTTGAATACATACAAAAACATATCCCACCTTTAGCATAATCGGAAATGCAAACTCATTTGGTAGGTAATGGAATTCCCCTTTTTGCATAAAAATTAAGTCAAAATAAGACGAAAATCTAAATAAATATTTTTCCTAATTACGTATGTTTAAAAGATACAGGGTGATAAAGTGTTACATATCATATCAGTTTTTTTTAATATAACTTCTACTATGGTAGACTTGGAAAGGTGATATTTTGCGAACAGTCACTTACTAGCAAAACACATATTCACACATAATTACAATTGTTTGAGTGAACACAGTGTCGTAGAAACGGGGGTTGCTTTAAGCTTATTGTCCCATACAAACTTTGAGGTTAGGTTTTTATAACATTTGATACAATTTTTCGATTACACATAATCGGCAGTAAAGTTCTACTTTACTACCGATAAAAGGATTTTTGAATACGTACAAAAACATATCCCAATTTTAGCATAATCGCAAATGCAAACTCATTTGATGTTTAATGGAATTCCCCTTATATAAAAAATAAATAAATTATTAAATTTAAAATGTTAATTATTGTATTATTTTATATCAATTATTATTATTTATATATTACATATTTTGTTGTGAAAAAAACAACTGTATTTCTAAAATATAACTAGGCGAAGTCGCCATTTAAAATTTTAGAAAATTAAAATATCGAAAAAAAATAGAAAAAGTTTGAAAACGCGATTATACAAAACATCAAGTAAACAAAAACAAATAAAAAAAATTTTTTTTACAACTTTTGAGAAAATGTCCAAATCGATCAATTTTGTAAAAAGTTATGGACGATTGGATATTAAAAATTCAACATCTTAAAAACTATCGTCCAAAAAAACCAGTATCATTGAATTCGTACAAAAACATATCCCAATTTCAGCAAAATCGTAAATTTAAACTAAGTATATTTTGTTGTTTTATTTCTTGTCAATTTTATAATTTCATTATTGAAAATTTTTAAATAATAATTAAATCTTGACAATGTCATCCAGGTTTATTTGGTGAAATTTGGCAGTGTTAATATAATAAAACGTGCAAAATGTCCAAACGGTATAGGTTTACAACAGCCAACCCAAATTTTAATTAATACTCGTACAAAACTGGGCGACAACGTCGCGACGTTGCAATGCGTTGTTCCATGACATCCACAACCAAAGTGAAGTAGGTAAACTACACTACGAATTTAATATCCTGAATGCTTTACATAATCTTACGGGCATAATAATCCATTACACGCTAGATTAAGGTAACAATTTCTAATACATGCACTTGAATCAACCCCAAACGTGAATTGAGAAATCTAAAATGTCAAACTATTCATTTTCTATTAGAGGAAAACTTGCCAAATTTGAATTGCTCATAAATTACGTAAATGTTTTTAAATTCAGTGGTAAAAACAGTTTTAAGATGGTAATATTTCAGTTTGAAATGCCAGTCAAGACTGCTGTACTGTGACTGCACTGGTTACACTGGTCAACAGGCATTTAGCCTGTGGGAGACCAGCACATTTTTTAGGGTAATTTAAGGGCGCTAATTTAAAAAATGACCATTACATTGCTAAATTACCTCTTGATTTCGAGATATTCTAGGTATACCTAGAAACAATATATATATTGTTTTTTCAATATGAAAACATTCAAATTTGTTTATATATTTTTTTAATTAAAGATTTTAACCAAGGATCATTGTTAATTAAATCCTATTGCCCAAACGCAAAAAAAATGTTTTATTTTGTCGATCACTACACAGTAAAAAACATTAACCAGATTTTATGTTAATCCAGGTCCACATAACTTTATGTTAAGTTTACAACCAACTGTAATCTGATAACTAATTGAATAAGTAGTTTGTAATTATAACAAACATTTCGTAGATTTAATAAAAAAATGCTATAATAATATAAAAATAACAAAATCCAATAATAATTATGAATTATAATTATGAATATTAATTATGAATTATAATTCAATCTACAAGAATTATTTATAAAAATATCCTTATTTATACAAACCTTTATCTACTCCTATTGCATAATTTTGGTGTTTTTCCGTGAATATTGTAAAGCATTATAAATTTCCTGCCTAACAACGTGAATAATAAACTCAGTATTCACGTTGTTAGGCATCACTAATTGGCCGATTTCAGTATTCACTGTGATTTGAACCAGACGTAAAACCCGTCTGGTATTAATAATTGGAAGAAGGCGACTATAATAACATTTAAAATTTGTAAAAAGTAAGGTTAACCATTTGACAGATGTCAGATTTTATTTATTTAATTTTAAAAATCGTCTGACGACTCGAGACGTAAACCTCATCTTCGTGAATATTAGCCTGCATTATCGTATAATAATATAATATACTATTTTGTAGACCCAGTAATAAAAGTATTATTTTGAAATTGGAAACTTAAATGTTGCTTAATTAATCAATTTCCTAAAAAAAAGCTATTTACTCAATATCTTCAAAAAGTTGCTTTGAAACGATCTTCCTTCAAATTTACTAAGTAGAAAGTATTTGAAGCTTAATAACTTTTTACCCGTTAGGATTACGAAAAAACTACTTCAGAAATTTTTGTAGAAAATTAAATTTTCTTACTACCTCGACTCAAAATACGTTGTTTCGTCCCCGATTCCACGGCAGAAAGTTTACGTTTTATGCATTGGTCAAGCTATACGCGCACACTCTAATAGCGGGAGTAAAAATTTTTTAGTCGTGTGCTTAACATTCAAATTTCGTACTGCCAACATGAGAAACACAAAAATATGACAGTTTTAAACCATAATTTTGCAATTATAACAACAAATAAACAATTTATGTTTTTATTTTTTTACTTTTTATGTTGTTTTAAGTGTTTAATGGTACTTTTATTTGTTATAAAGTAGTAATTTGTTAATTAAAATACAACCTTTTATTTTTACTGTATTGGCACCGCTGAATTTACGGCCTACTGTTATTTATTTATCAAGCTCTTCAAATGGAGATAGGTACATAAATACACATTTAATTTTTTCCCGTATTTTCGGCCGGGTTGTATTGTAATATAGGGCAATTCCATGCGTAATAGCGTAATTTTCTTCAAATTTATATCAATAGAAATGTTCCAAATGTTATTAAACTAGGAGCATACTCCTACTTGTGCCTAGAAAATTATTACTTTATTTATTTAAACCAATATTCCATAAAATTTTAAATAATTAAAAAGTCTTAACTGCTTTTGAATTCTGCACTAAAAATATGTTATGTCCCATGAGTTATCATATTAACCAATTTTTTTAAAACCTCACACAATCAAAGCAGTTAAGTTAAATGTTTTTTTAATACACTATAGGCAAAGTATATTTTTAAAATAAGATTATGTTTCATACAGTTTAGGATTCAGAGAAAAAGGTTGCTTCATTTAACCAATTTTTTAAAGAAAGTTTTTCGTGTCCCATGAGTTAT